TTTTAGGTCATATTTATTCAATTCAATTCAATTCAGTTTATTTATGTAGCGCCAAGTCACAACAGAAGTAATCTCAGAACACTAAACAGAAACATTCATATATAAAAATAATAATTTAATATTATTTATCGAGCAGCACAGTGGTGCAACTGGTAGAGCTGTTGCCTCTCAACGAGCAGGTCTCCGGTTCAAATCCCATCCAGGGGTCTCTGGGTGGAGTTTGCATGTTCTTTCTGTGCATGTGTGGGTTTTCTGCGGGTACTCCAGTTTCCACCCACAGACTAACAACATACATGTTAGTCTGATTGGTAACTCTAAATTGTCTCTAGGTGTGAGTGAGAGAGTGAATGGTTGTTTGTCTCGTTTGTCTCTATGTGTCCCTGTGATGGACTGGAGACCTGTCCAGGGTGTCCCCGCTTCTCGCACAGTGATTGCTGGACATGGGCACCGGCGACACCCGTGACCCAAAATGGAAGAAGCGGGTAAAAGATAATGGACCACCTTCTCTAACCTCTGCGCCACCACTCCCAGGTGATAGTACATCAGGTGATATTTATGTAGAAATATAGAAAATTCTAAAGGGTTCACAAACTTTCGAGCACCACTGTATAAACTAAGGCTGGGGAGGTGTAGATTTAAAAACAAAATATAACAGTGATATCTGTTTGTTTGTGAACTGTTGTTATTAAAGCTTGATTTTTGGTTGTTTTGGAGCTGGCAGGGTCTGTCAAGATCCTTGTGTTTTGTCGTGTTTTTGTCTTCTTGTGATTATTGGATTTAGTTTTCTCTGCAGTGGCAGTTTCTGATATGGGTGATATGGGCAGCTGCCCAGGGCGGCATCTCCTCAAGGGTGGCACCAGACCCCCCCCCACCCCCCAACCACCACCACTCCAAATAATGAAACACATTATTTCATATAGCCTGCCTCTATGGCCTGTCTAGCCTACATATTGATTTCCTATTGCCCACTTGCAGGGAGTGGGTGCCACAGACAGGTGCAGGGTGTGCAGCTTCTGTTGAGCTCTGACACACAGGTTGTGAGAGAAGTGGAGGGGGATTCTCTCACTGGCTGATATGGCAGAAGTGCCTCACTAAATGCCTCTGGTAACGCCGTGAGTGTTATCTCCATCATTACAGATATCTTGTTTGTTTGTTTGTTGGAGGTTAGCTCACCCTGGGTTATATTTCTGCGTGGCAGAGTATCATGTCAGGTAGTTCCCTAAGTAAATCACAGCATTGATTGCTCCCATACAAAGCACATTTTATTCACAATAGTGTGAATATAGCCAATAGTTCTCAGCTTATTCGTGTGAAATTGCTGAAAAAATAATACAAAAATGAATCTGCACAGCAAGGAAGGTGAAATAGTTTAGGCCTGAGTTATTTTGACTCATGTTGGGGCAGTGCCAGTTACACACGTGGAAGATGGACAAGAACAGGTCAAAGCCATCAGGTGCCCAGTTCAGGAAAAAGATAAAAGAAGAAGAGGAGAAACAAGCAAAAGATGAAGGGATGCAGCGGTGTCATCTCTTGGAGCATGCAGGTGTTATGTAGACTACAGTCTGTTGCAGGATAGCCTTCATATTAATTAACAACATAAGACACTAACTGTTGTTTACATTTAGCTGCTTAGGTCATGATGTTTGGTTTTCAGCAGAAAATATTACAGTTTTGAACATTGAAATTCTTCTAAAACTAAACTACTACATGGAGAAGTAATCTATACTATAATTACTAAAGGCAACGATCTTGTGATGAGGCGTGGATACTGTTAAATATCTATTAACTGGACGAGGTGTTGATTAGTCTCATTCTGAATTTTTCACAAATTGGACATATTTTTAGACATGTTTGTTTTTGTCTTAGTTGTTTGTCAGAGATCTGGAGAGGTTGTTTGCCCATGGCACCAAACAGGCCAGGACTGTTTCTCTGTGTCTGTTTTACTTGTGTTCAGTTTTCCCGTCATGCAGTCAGATCCTGCTGCTCACACTCTCATCTGATCAGTGTCTTTCCACTGGTGTTGTTCTTGTGTCTCGTTAGTGTCCCTTTAAGTTTCTTATTTTGTTTGCTCCCCGTTCGTGGATTGTGCTTTCTCAGCCGTCATGCTCAGTTCCTTCGTGCTCCTTTTGGTTGTGTTTTGCTGCCACGACAGCCTTTGTGTTTGTATTTATTTAATAAACACTTTCTGTACGGCCCTGTGATGGACTTGCAACCTGTCGGTTAGGGTTAAAAATATATATTTGACAGTAAATATCTATCAAATTCTAAAGTTGCTTTCAACATATTGAGAGATGATGAACACACAAAGTAGAAAGTGTCTGTCAGTTTCTCCCCATCATGACCAGAGAATGATGGTGGGTGAAGGACCAAAATGGAGGCACACTGGAGGCAACAGGGATGTAAATTATGAAATTCAAGGCAAGGACAGATAAAGTAAAATCTGACAGTACCTGAGAAGCAGGATATTTAAATACTCAGGTAAAATAATAACAAACAAAAAAATGAATGGCAAAAACAACAAGTAAACCTGCAAAATAAAAAAATAAAAACAAAATAGAACAGGAAACATGGTTCAATATGACAATTAAATAACTAGAACTCTAGAAAATACAAAACATGGGTCACAAAAAGATAAACTACCGATATAAAAATAAAGACAATCAGATACCCTGATACTCTCCATTAATGTTTTTTGGAACGAGTATCTTTTGAAGTCAGGGTTGAACAATTTCCACTTTTATTTCAGCTAAATTTCAACCTCTTTCCAAGTTTTACATCGTTTCCTTTTTATAAAATACCAACAACTGAAAATCTATAAATAAAATGTATTTAAAGCACAATGTCAGGAAGCCACTTCCTGAGGCGGAGTTTAATTTTTTTTATCACTTTTAGAAATAAAGCAATATACAGTAATTTTCAACCTGAATATCATGCAATATTAAAGAAGACTTCATTTATGTGAGTGGAATCATAGAAAAGTTTCACATGTGTTAACATATATGACAATTTACTGTGATCTATAGTAAAAACTGAATATGAAAGATGAATGCCAGTATTCACAGTAAAGTGTAATTCCATAAATGGTCGACAGATGCTGGCAGCAGAACATCTGGCTCCTGTAAATTTCCAATTCAAATGGATATTTTTTTTTGTGTGTGAAATATGAACTTCTCTTTTTGGCCAGATCTGTTACTGATCTGTTTGTTAGTGCTCATTTGTCACAATAATTTATATAAATCATGAAGTAAACAGACTGTGGACCTTACCAATATATTTAGTTTGGTTTCAAGCGTGATTCTTTAGCTCAACTCTTACATGTGGCACCAAAAATGTCAAAATTAAGGATTTAAAACATCTTTTCTCAAACCACTTGGTGAAATTAAACTGATTCACTTTTTGGCTACGATTTATGATCTGCAAGAAAGGTTTGTTGCAAAACATGAACAGAACAAGACATGCAGCACATTTTGTTTGTTCTTTATTGGGTAACAACATGAGCCCAACATTAAATTAACATCAAGGCAGCATTTAGTCTTTAAAAGGATAAAAATGTGAGTAAATATAACTTGCAGGTCATTTTTCCTTCACATCTTTAATAATATATATTCATATCAAAGATAAAATAAGTTGACTCATAAGAAAAGATGTCATAAATAATTTTTAGTCTGTACAAAATATTTGAACACTGAAACTAAATGCTCATATTGGTTATATAACTGATAATAGGCATGCAATAATTAACATGAGCTGTTTGTTAAAGCAGATAAATATACATTTAGTTAAAAATCAGGTCTGATCCTACAGTAATCTACAGTGACACCACGATTTTGCTGACGACCTACCATCACTTGAGCCTTTTTGTTGGCTAAAAACCAGTTCTAATCCAATCAATGATTACAATCCGACCATCAATCACGTCTATGCGAGCCAACAGTCTGTCCTGTTCAATTACCACAAGGTGGAGTACATCACCAACACAGTCAGCCAAGAAACAGGATGTTTTTATTTTCAAAGAGAAAAGAGCTGATCTCATCGTAGAGAGATGATTTAATCGTCTATCAGCTTGATTGTGCTGGTTTTGTAAGCCCATTGATGAATTAAGCGCTGCTCTGTACTCTGCAGTTAATGTGATGGAGACATCATCACTGAGAGATTAAAGTCTGGAGGTGGTTTTATCATTTCATGATTTGAGGCCGAACGAGGCAACCAAAAACACGACTTTTCCCGTTAAAAACTGTTTGTCAGAACAGGAGTCTGGTTTCACTCAACATGATGCAGATGCTTCAGAGGAGAGCTTCTGTTCAGGTATCTGATCCTTCAGACTGCAGTCCGTCTTCATCCAAAGCCCAAGGCAGCGTTAATGTCTCTGCTGCCAGTTGATGAGACTCAGGCCAGAGGAGAGTCTCCATGTGCAGACATCCATTGAATCAGGGATAACTCAGCGCTGCATTTAACCTTCCTCTTTGTTCCTACCAGATGTTTACATCCCAATAGGAGAAGTTATAGTAAGAAGGAGTGGAGCTGCTCACTCTGGGATTGGGACATTGGTGAGGAACCAGTGCCCCCAGCTCATTTGACCAGCGGAGGGAAGTATTGATCTTACTGGTCTTAACACAATCAAACCCACATGGTCTAGAAGATATTTGCCTCTGGCAGCGTTAAGATGTATTTCCATGTAACTCATCTCACTCACATCAGTGGTATGTTATCTCAAATTAAAGTTATTAAAGGGTACTTGCAACGGTGCTTTCTGTGATCTTGATGTGCAGCAGAAAGCGACTGTCAATCCTCTCCTGGTTCCCTGGGAGACTGGCATGGTCAGCAGCCCCCACCCCCCGTTGTCCTCCCCCATCCTCTTGCTGTTTCTTCCATGCTGGTGGAGGAGGCGTGTGAGCAGGGAAGAGGCAGGGCATGTCAGGCTCGGGGAGTGGAAGCTGGGCAGCAAACACACACACACACAGACTCACACACACAAACACGCTCAGTCAGCGTAAGTGAAACAAGTGCTGGCTGCACTCAGCAGTGTTGACGGGCTCACTGCTGTCTGTCAGCCAGCATGCCGCAGAGAAAGAGGAGTTTCACTTTTGGAGCCTATGGAGGGTAAGATTTAAAAATACCACCTTTATGGCTCTGTCTGTGTGTGTGTGTGTGTGTGTCTGTCTGTCTGTTTCTGGCAGCTGCTTTGATGACTCTGCAGAATCTGGGCCAGTATCTGTTTGTATGTTTGATGCTTGTGCACTGGAATGCTGTATTCATCCGTTCCATCAGCGTTCCTCTCGCTTTTCTTGTCATTTTTGTACTTTGTCGTGATAAACTGTTATCATAACTGTCTTTCCCTAACAATCAATCCTAAAGTATTAAATTATTCACTGTTGATGCATCAACAGTAAAACACCTAGGCAAAAAAAAATAGAAGGAGTATGGATCTGTAATATCACTGTACACAGAAAAATATCAGCTAATATTATGTTTTTGTGTAATATACAGAGATGGTCTGTGTGGCTTTCTCTTCATTCAGTGTTTTGTTGTAAAAGGAAATAAATATAAAGCCTGTTACTCAGTTTCATTCTTGTAAAATTTCCCCTTTTCAGCCTATTGCACATACATATACAGAGTAGTTTTTTAATGGCCAAAAGAAGGTTGACTCAAAAACATCTTGAAACAAAGGTGACTATTAATTAACAGCAAGTGAGATGGTCAGTGAGGCAGGTGATCAGTAATTTAAAGCTTTATTCACACATCCTTGGAGTTTTGAGGGTGAGAACTCAAATGTTGGAATATAGGTGTTCATATCAATCAGACCAGACTTACCGCAGAGTTTGCTCAGACAGATTTCCCATATTTAGTCCAGCATATGAACCCATGTGTAAATATGAAGAGTAGTTCTACAATATATCATCTGTTTGTGAGCGTGCAGCCCGATGGTGACCACGTGTTTTCTGCTTGTCAGCAGATATTTTTTTTCTGTTGTATTTATGATATTCACCCATGAAGAATGCTTAAAATACGTTCACACGCGTTTGGTATTGATGTCAACACAGAAATCGTTAGTTAGCAGCCCTGTTTACATATTTAATTTGCTGTCAGAGAAATATTGCATTGATGGAACTCTAACAAACGTTCACACGTTCGTCTCATTCTTCAGTGCTCAACAAATAACACACAGCATAACTGTAACAAATTTAGGATTCGTCTACTAACCATTGCTCAGAATTAGAATCAGAATAAGCTTTATCATCACTGTACCGAGATACAGCGAGAATACTGTATGTCCGTGCTCTGTGATTTCATTAGTTTATTTGACTTTCCATCTATCACAATGCTAAATAGCTACTTATTTATTACTAAGTTTAACAGTAAAATAAAGCATTACTTTTTATTTTAGATGGCATATTTAAAAAGGTTAGATTTTTGAAACATAAAAACTAAATCCTTTCAGTGAAAACTGACAGAATCCTGTGAGTATACCTCCCATAGGCATACACGAGAAGTCTACATTCACATGTAGGTAATATCTCTCTTTTTT